GACTTATTCCGGCGAGCTCCGAATTCAATGAGGAGCGAAAGCTGCACAAAAGGAAACTTACTAAAAGTCTCCGCAAGGACCGTGAACAGTGGTGGGTGACAAAGGCGAAAGAGATGGAAAAAGCATCGGCGATAGGCAACACTAGGCAACTCTTTAGACTCATCACAGAATCGGGTGGGAGAAGGCAATTCATAAGTGAGACTATTTCTGAGAAAAATGGCTCCTTAATTAGCTCTCAGGATAGACGCCTTGAACGCTGGAAAGAACACTTTGAGGAACAATTTAACTTGCCTACAGCCACACTGAACCTCCCCGCCATCCACACACACCCGAATGGGATATAGACACTGGTCCGCCGTCTGTAGGTGAGGTTACAAAAGCTATCAGTAATTTGAAACGAGGCAAAGCGGCAGGACCCGACGGAATTATTCCGGAGGTGTTTAAATATGGGGGTGACATACTAGTTTGTAGATTAACTGAGGTACTAGGCAAAGTCTGGGAATCAGAGACAGTACCATCAGACTGGGGTAAGTCACTTATTATACCGATATTCAAGAAGGGAAACAAGTCCTCGTGTGATAATCATAGGGGGATCAGCCTAACGAACATAGTCTCTAAAATCCTAGGCTCAGTAATCATGCATAGACTAAGCAGAACTCGGGAGGAACAGACAAGGGAAAATCAAGCAGGCTTTAGACCAGGTAGAGGGTGCATAGATCATATCTTCACTCTTCGACAGATTCTAGAACATAGACACACTTTTCGGCGTCCAACAATTGTCATATTTCTTGACTTGAAGGCGGCCTTCGACTCCGTGGATCGAAAGGTACTATGGCAATGTCTGACTGTGAAGGGAGTGCCAAGAAAGTACATTGCACTAATCAAGGCACTCTATTCAAACTCACGTAGTCGTGTAAGGGCTTATGGGGAATTGTCATCTGAATTGGTAACAACCAGTGGTGTCCGACAGGGATGTCCACTTTCCCCATTTCTGTTTAACTTCATCATAGATATGCTAATGGAAGTATCCTTAACTGAACGTAGTGACTTAGGAATCGACTTGTTACCAGGGAATAATCTTATGGACTTAGAATATGCAGATGACATAGTCCTGTTAGGGGAGGATGCTGACAAAATGCAGAGTCTTCTGAACACCTTGAGCAGCAATCTTCGTATGTTTGGCATGCGATTCGCCCCTGCAAAATGTAAGATGCTGCTACAGGACTGGACCACGTCAACCCCTAACTTAGTGATAGGGAGTGAAGTGATAGAACATGTTGACCACTTCACCTACTTGGGAAGTTGTATTAGCACCAACGGACTGATTGGCGATGAAATCTCAGCACGGATCCGAAAAGCTCGAGCTGCTTTCGCTGACTTACACCATCTCTGGCGTAGGCGTGACATCCGGTTATCAACCAAGGGACGTGTGTACTGCTCATCAGTTCGCTCCGTCCTTCTCTACAGCTCTGAAGACATGAAAAGGTTGACTGCTTTCGATCATAGATGTCTGCGATCTCTGTCTCACGTTAGGTGGTTTCACAAGGTAAGTAATGTTGACGTTAGGCGTAGAGTGTTGGGCAAAGAGGGAAAATCAATCGACGAGGCTATAAAGTTACATAGACTAAGATGGCTAGGTCACGTGCTGCGCATGCCTAACCACCGCCTCCCCCGACGGGCATTGCTAGCTGATATAGGTTCAGGTTGGAAAAGAGCCAGTGGTGGCCAAACAAAAACATGGTCATCAATCCATGAAATCCTTGACAGTTAAACTGAGTCAGGTAGGGAGATGCAGACTCCCGGGTTGGGGCCCTCGGGACTCTAGGAATCAATGGCTGGAGACAATAGGTGACATGGCTCAAAATCGTTGTCAATGGCGGCAGATGTATTCAGTCTCTGTAATCTTTCATATTCCTTTCTACCATTACCCATTCTGTTTCACTCTTATACTTGTCAAACTCTATTGATTCTCTTCACTCATCTTCTTGTCTACCTCTGTGTGCTATTTGGAACGTGGCAACTCGAACTGGTGCACTTCGGTGCCAAGTTCTATGTTGAATCCAGACAGACAGAGACATATGACAAGGGCCAGGCAACAGATCGTTTATTCAGAAAATCGAGAGGTATTTATGGATTTTTATGTGGATTATTATTAGCGTTATTGTTAGTGGAGAAGCAACCTATTCTAATTGGTTGTTTTCTTGCTGAAGGTTATTCTGTTATCTCTTTGTTTCTCAGAAAATCGAGTCATATATCTGTGAATCATGTTTCCAAACTTCAACTCCGTTGTGATTGGCTGGTGATTTTCTCCAGGTTTAACTTTGTTATTGTTTTTCTCATACTCGTGATTCGGATCGTGAAAACTGACGTAAACTGTTGTCTACAATTTTCGGCTTGCAGACAGCGCTCACCACAGTGAGACTGAAGCCTACTACCCACTATCTGAAAAGCAAATTCTTAAGAAATTGAGAATGACAAAGGCAGGATCGTAAAAGCCAGACAGACTTTGATTACTCTGAAAAAAATTGCGTCGGTGGCTTAGCGGTAGAATGCTCGCCAACCACGCCTCGTTTGATTCGAGGCTGGATCCCCGGCCACGGACACACTCCTTTACCTCTATAAGCCAGTGATAATACTGGTAAAGAGGGAAGGTTGGGCATGAGGCTAGCAACCCTATCCCATAAAAATAAACGCCATTGTCATCGAAACTTCAAAGCGCTGTAGCTTGGAGGATTATGTTCCACTGGTAACGTCAAGGAAAAAAAACTCAGAAGCCAGTGTTGATTTCTACTTCTCTGTACATCAAGAAAAAGATCCGGATTTTAAATACTAGTGCTAGTCACGTCAGTGCTTCTCTACGGTTCACAGCTTTGGTGTCTCAAGAAAGTCATTTCCAACAGGCTACTGAGGATTTTAACCAACACTTACTTTCCTTGACGCTGTTCTGAAAATCATATGGCTTATCTAAAAGGATTAGGAACAAAGAACTCTAGCAGTGCAGCGAACCAGCTGGGGACTTATCGTCCAACAGATATATATACAGGCGGGGGTGGAGATAGATTTGATGTATGCTGCAGGCACTGTAGGGTGACATCATGCTCTAATCCCTAGAATACAATCTGATTGGGAAGCTGGGCTTTGAGTGGGACTACAAATACGACGTGAAATAGACAGTTTGAGCAGGCGGTGAAAGCTTATGGTCAGTCGTAGAGGCAGTTAGAGAGGAATACAGCGAACTGAATTCAGCTAGATGATATAATAATAATAGTAATAAGCCAATGAACCGTATCTCCACCAGAAAGAAATTTCAAATAAAAGTCAATCACGATTATTCATGAGAAAACAGAATGTTGAGATAAGAGATGGCAGTAATAGATTTTTCTAACGTTTCGTTTTCTTTTTAATTTTAAGTGGTTTAATTTAATGCCAAAAACTAATAATCCCAGTAGGATGTATTGTGTTGTTAAATTTGATAAGTTAGGATACCCTATTAGACCTATAGTTGATTTTAGAAATTCACCTACTTATGAATTATCTAAATATTTAGCCATGGTGTCAAATCCACTAAAAAGCCACTCGAAATCTAGACTAACTAATTCTTATGAACTAAAACACAGATTAGATAGTTTAAATTTAGATATTAAAGAGAAAATGGTCAGTTTTGACATTGTCAGTTCATATACACGTATACCAATAAATATGGCTATAGAGACAGTCAGAAACGGACTCATTTCATGGATAGTTGGGAAAACATAGCGATTGAAACGTTCAACCCCACCCCACCCCTAAAAGTAAGGTGGAGGTATGTAGATGACCCATTCACTGTACTTAGAACACAAGATATAGATAGATTTTTCAAACACATTAACTCAAAGGTGGAGGCAATTCAATTCACTTATGATGAATTGGAAGGGGAGCTTTCAATGTTAGATTTCAGCGTTAAAAGGAAAGAAGATGGGAAGATGTGTTTACAGGAAACCCAGACATTCACACAGATATTTGGACTTCTGATCATCCCATCCTATGTCAGTGAAAATAGGACAGAGCACAAAAACTAAGTAGTACCAAGGAAAATCTAGGACACGAAGTGAGGCATATAAGAGAAGCTTTAAAACTTAATAATTAACTTGGTTAGTCAGAAAGTATGTAAGGAAATTTAAAAATAAAATAAATAGTGATAGTAATAATAATAATGGTGATATTATTGACGATAGGCATGTCAAGCATACGCAAGATAATGACAACACCAACAGTAAGGAATCTAAGTCATCGGTAGTAATTCCATACAAGAAAGGAACCTCGGAAACCTTACGCTGAATTCTTAACAAGGCAGGAATAAAAGTGGCTGGTATTCAAACCCACAAACTTAATTAGAAACAAGCTTTGTCGGTTGAATGGGGGATCCTGTGGAGCCTTTAAAACAAAACAATTTAGTTTATCTAATACCCGGCTGCTGGAATGATTGTCAGGTCAAATACATAGGTCAAAGTAGTAGAACAGGCACAGTCAGACTAGCTGAACATAAAAACCTAGCAGCAAAATCTAAATTGGTTGACCCGAATAAGATAAGAAATCTAGAGCATAGTTCAGTCATAGCACACACTACATGCAGTTAGACACAGCCACACAATAGGATGGGATAGGTGAGAGTTTTAAAATCTAATGTCACAGGGTTGAAGGAGAGATTGATAAATGTAGCTTTGTTTATCGAATCAACTGAGAGTGAATACGTGTAATAGGAATGATTCAACACCTGTCCACCCAGATATCTGAAAAATTCTACTACCCGAACGAAAACAAATAGGAGAGAACAAAGAAAACTATAAAACTCAAGTTTCGAAGTCGTGTGTGATTATAATTGATGAAATGATTATCAACAATGAATAAATTTTGTTCGAAACTTTATCATCCAGTAAGTAATAATGCTTCCCCTGTGTGATACATTTAATAAACAAACTATTATGGAATTTTTTTTTTATTTTCCTTATATTTTTATACAGATATACAATGGCGATTCATGATTTTCAATCAGCTCTTCACAATGGACATCAACAATGTTTTGACGTGTATCGTCTACTTGGATTAAGCTACATACGGATGAAACTTTGGACAAGGTTGGTTTACTTATCTGTGATATATATTTAGCTAATTATAATCTAATTAATTACACTACTATTCTTTCTTTAGAGCTATCCAGATATTGACAGCAGCAATAAAAGTTCTGGACAAACCTAATGATATTGTAAACATTTTATTGTGTAGAGCAGAAGTATACAGTAGTCAAGGTCAAGTACGTTCAACATTCTTGGTTAGAATCCCTTTTTTTTAATCTTTTTTCTAATGCAACCACTTTTCAGATATTTAGCATTTCTTCCACTAATGTGTTTAACTTCTGAACTGTAGAAGAACCTTCAGTGATTTTACATCTCTTAGATATGAGAACAAAATACTGAATGAAGGGATTTTATAGATTTAGGAGATCATAAGGAGTGAGTACGTCTGCGACGTTTGAAATAATTCCTGTCTATGCCACCAACAGTCTCCAAACTGGAATTCATTGGATCTCGAGAATTTCAGTAGGATAGGTTACACTTCATTATATTACTGCATCGGTGGCACAGTGGTTAGGACACTTGCCGACCATGCACATGGTCCACGGTTCGATCCCAGGCCACCAACGAACTCCTTTACCTCGCTAAGCCAATAATAAAAGCTGGTAAGAAAGAAAGGTTGGGCATGCGGCTAGCAACCTCATCCTGTAAAATTAAACACTGCTACAGAAACTTCAAGCCACTAGCTTGAATCCCTATGCTCCATTGGGAACGTGAAGGAAAAAAAAACATGGCTTCAACCAAAAAATAAAGACATCATGGAGTAGTTCAATATTCCTCGTCTGACTGCTCTCTGCTAACCTTTCCCCGACGGATCAAAACGTTGACTTCATTAAAAATATTAGATGTATTTGAGTTAGATATTTAAGTTTCGGAATATGCACATTAGATTATGGGAAACAATTAAAAAGACGATTGCAGTGAAGAAACTTTTCTTTTCGATGAAGTTATGACTGAGAACTGTTTCTGATCGGGGATCAAATCATAACGAATAGCAAGATAACAAATTACGATAGAAAACGTAATAATAATAAAAGTCAAACAGAAAATAATAAATTCTCTAGTGTTCTTATTTTATTTTATTTCAATTTTATTCTTTACACTAATATACCGTTCAGAATGGCTTAAAAGCGGTTAAAAGGGAACTAAATTCTGATCCCAAACTTAGTCATAGGACAAAGCTGCCAACTGAGAAAATTATTTTAGGAATTCACTTATGCCTCACATCTACTGTATTTAAATTTTAGGGTAAAATATATAAACAAACAGAAGGTGTAGCAATGGGATGGATCATCAATATCCCCTATCGTAGCAGATATCTTTATGGACAGTTGGAGAAATATTGCTCTTAATACATTTACTCCTACTCTGAAGATAATATGGTAGAGATATGTGGATGAGACTTTCACACACAGTGTTGAAAGCAGAAAATATCTCTCCAAAGCTTCTTGACGCATAGAAACTCACTAGTAGAGGGAATAAAATTCACATTTGAATCGGAAAATGAACAAGGAGAATTAGCTATGGTGTTAGACTAAAATCAAATGAACAGAAGAATGTAAACTGCACACCAGCGTTTATAAAAAGTCAACGCATTCTGCTAATAGATATTTAGACTTGAATTTGTCTCATCCGTTAACTGTTAAGGCAGGCTTAGTTAAGTGTTTAACAAACCGAGCCATACCACTAAGTAGCACAAGAAAAGATCTAAATGACGAAGTAAAACAGATAGAAGAAGAAGCGTTGGTGTTAAGTAACTATCCTATGAAATTCATTGGGAATATCAAAAAAGGTCAAAAGGAAAATAAAAATAATGGTGAAACTAATAATAATAACATAAATAAGAGAGAATATAAGGCATCTACTGTTGCACCATATTAGTGAGTGAAATGTGAGACCCTACGTAGGATTTAGGAAAGAGCTTAGCAGTTGCACTGCATGCATGCATGAACACACAACCACACAATGTAGTGTGTGGGAGAGGGTTAAAATTCTAAAAAGTAATATAGGTAGGTGGAGAGCGAGAGAGGCTGATTACTGAATCCTGGTTCATCGAGTCTACTACACCCATCACGTGCAACAGAAGTGAATCAACACAAATACCAGATATATGGAAGATATTATTACCACCAGTCACTCAAATCAGAGGAGGATAATAAATAATCTTTGTTAACTGCTTCTAAGGCCATATTGACTGGTATATTAGTATAAAGACCAGTTATATCAAAACTAACCATTTTTTCATCATTCTCTAATGGAATGTCGTTTATATACAATTGGTGGATGGTGGCTAGCAGTGGAATCCAGGATGCGCATTTCGTCCTATTTGGGACTCGTCAGCTGGATGTACCTGCATTTCTCAGTGAGTGATGATGTTCCCACCGAGGCTGGAACCCAGTGCCCATAGTTTCAAACGCCAAAGCGTTATCCACTAGACCACTTGGGCCACGAGAGCCACTGCCTCTTGTGCAACGGGTCATATTAATTATTCGATTGAATTTTTGATTTTCCCGTCGATTGATTGGACCGAAGTGCTCGGTCTCAGGTTGACATGTCGGCTTCTTGTGCAGATGCTTCGACGATGTCTGGTGTCCACCAATTGTATACAAATCAAATCCCCAGACATCGTCGAAGCATCTGCACAAGAAGCCGACATGTCAACCTGAGACCGGGCACTTCGGTCCCATCAATCGACGGGAAAATCAAAAATTCAATCGGAATGTCGTTTAGTTTACTTTTCATCTCATATGAATTAGTTAGTTAGTCTAGAGTTTGAACGATTTCTAATGGGGTATAGTATTAGAGCAAAGTGGTTTGATAATTCATAATTAGGGGTATTTCTGAAATCTAATGTCGATCGTATGAGATAACCTGCCTTATGTATTTTAATAGTGCCATACATTCCACTATCGTTATTAGTTATAGGCTTTAAATTAAATCTCATATTTAATACTAATCATGAATATATCTGTCTGAAAGCTGATACCTCCTTCAAGAAACGGAGCCTTTATAATAAGTCCTAGGATTGCTATAAATTGAACTCTCCCAACTCGTTTGCTATCCAGCCAGACAACTTGAGATTAAAAATGACTGCCAGGTTGAAAATATGTTAGTTATAGTTATGAATGACAATAAACAATGGCATTGTTTTACTAAATCGGTTTGTTTTCATTTTACCTCCATTTTACTATGCGATTAGAATGCAAAAGCAATTATGGATGTACAACGTGTGCTACACATGAATTCCAACAAAGCTGAATACTACTTACTGCTTGGAAGTTATTTATTCCAACACTCGGATATTCAGTTGGTTCAACGATGTGTTCAACACTATTTGAGGATATTAGAAAGCCAAAATTATAAACAGGTTAAACAGATGGTAAGCGTCTGTTCCCATGATTGTACAAGTCATTCGGTTGCTTTTTAACATTGAACAGTTTTCAATGAAACTGTTTTCAAAAACACGAAAAGTTTGGATATTGAACAAAGAATACTCTTCATCAGGCTCTACAGATATATATATATATATATATATATATATATATTATAGTGAATGAATGAATTAGTGTTATTTATTATTAACAACATTAATATTGTTCAAATAACATCAAATCAATTTTTTTTATTTATTTCTATTTTCGATTACAGCTTGATTCCACACTGTATTTTTGGTACAAGTATGGAATTTTCAGCATGGATATCGGTAGCCCAAATTTTGCAGGCCGACCATAGATATTAGGTGTGCTTCGTCAGGGGATCGACAGATTACAGCTCAATAGCGTCAACATAAGAATACACTGAAAATCTGTAAAATTGTGAGAATTAATCATAGAAATTCATGAATTTATAGTATCTACTGAAGCCAATTTACTTGGCACCTGGTAGATGATAGAGAAGGATTCTTCAACGCTGGTTTTACGGCCGTTGCCCAATAAATTGCCACAAATATCGAAGTACTACATGCTCCAAATAGCAGAGGCTATTGTAATTCACCTCAAACAACCCGTGCTCTGTGTGCTAAAGAAGCAAGTCCATCCAGCCACTGCTACTGACCTGGCCTTCAGTAGGGAGTATAAATTCATGAATTTCTAATATTACCTTTCCTAATTTTTCTGACATTCAGTTTATTGTTATGTTGATGCTATTGAACTGTAATCTGTCAATATTAGTGATTCGATTTTATTTAAAAAAACATTAATGTTGGTATTTAATTGGTGGATGGTGACTAGCAGTGGAATCCAGGATAACGCGCATTTCGTCCTATTTGGGACTCGTCGTCTGGATGTACCTGCATTTCTCAATGAGTGGTGATTTTCCCACCAAGGCTCGAACCCAGGTTGTCTATCATTTGTAAAAATAATCTGGATAGACAACACCTACTCCAAGTCTTTAATAAGGTGCACTCAGCTATTAAATTCACTTGTGAAGAGGAACTCCAAGGTAGTATTCCACTTCTGGATGTTCTTCTCACAAAAAGATCAGATGGTACCTTGAAAAGAAACATCTATAGGAAAGCGACGTGGAACGGACAATACACCCACTTCCATAGCTTCATACCTATACAATATAAGCGCAACATAATTCGTTGTCTTAGTCATAGAATTAGACTCATATGTACCGAGGATTGTATTGAAGATGAAATAAGAAATCTTACAAATGCCTTGCTACAAAATGACTACCCTACCAACTTTGTAAAGAAGTATATCTACGAAACTACACAAAAAGCCAAGCGAGACACAGTAAGTAAGAAAAAGCTTTACTTAAATGTACAATTCAAAGGCGATATAACCAGCGATATATTAAACAGTAGATTAACAAGATCAATTGAAAGAACTTTTAATGCCGCAAAACTGTATGTCAGCTTCTCAACCAAACCGACATTGACACTGTGCATTAAAGATAGATTGCCCAAAATGGCGACACCAACGTGTGTATATAAATTCAACTGCTCCTCCTGTGGAGCTAGTTATATAGGTCGTACCCAAAGGAATTCATCTTTACACACTCGTGAACATATTCCTGTTTGGCTTGGGAAAAGAACAACCAAACCAATTAATAGTGCAATTCTGTCTCATCTAGTGGATAGCGAACACAGCATCAAAGTAGATGAGTAGTCATTTACAGTTGTGTATCGAGTACCGAACAATCTGCCCAAAGGCACACGATTACGCCTCCTAGCCATAGCTGAGGCTATAGAGATCAATAGAGAGAGACCAGACCTATGTGTACAGAAAAAACTTATTCACTCTCTTTGTCCACCCTGGCCCACTATAAGGTCACCAGGATCATAATTTTTCGTACTATTATTATCATCATTATTATCATTTTGTGATATCATGTCTTTATTATCCATTTCTCCACCCAGTTTATTTCACCTCATTGTTACCCTTATTTTTGTCAACCTTTATGATTTTATACTAAGCCTACTAAATCTGTAACATCTTATTACAATTTACAATTTAGCCTCTTTATTTTATCATCAGACATTATCGGTCAGTCCTCACATTCAGTGTCCCCTTTGTTAATGTGTGTTTGCATGTATTTTGTGGTTATCGCATTTCTCTCACCTCAATGACACTTGTATTCTGTTAACTATATTTATTATATTTTTTATTATATCGTTTAATTCCTAGAGGAACATAGGGCTTCAGCTGCGCACCTCCATTGCCTTCTGTTTTCCGCCAACTTTTTCACTCCGCTCCAAGTCTGCCCACATGCTTTCATCTTCTCCTCACATGACCTCCTCCAAGTCACCCTTGCACTGACGACCAACTCGCCGCTTCCCTTTCGGGTTCCAGTCGGGCGATGGCTTGTCTAGTGATGTCACTTGATGGTTTCCTCAGCGTATGGCCAATCCATCTCCATTTCTTCCTGCCTATTTGTTTCACAATCGGTTCCTGCTGGGTTGGTTCGCTCATTGCCAGAGATCCCTGTTGCTGATCTTTTCTGGCCGGCCATTTGATCTTGAGTATTATTGAGCGAAGACAGTTAGCTGTTAATAAACGACTGTAGTTTGTTTGAGGTTCCCTTTATGGCGCACTGGCGAAGTCTCTGATCCGTATCGTGAGTACCACTGACTTTACATTGGAGTTGAAAATCCAGATCGTCAGTTCCAAATGCCTGTAGTTGAAACGATGCTTCCCAGGTGGGTAGGTAGGTAAGGGACGTTGTTTCTTTCAGGTTCCTCCCATTTATGCTGGCTGATTGTTGTCTGTTGTTGTCGCTGTTGACCAGGAATCTTCATCACCTCTGTTTTATCTATGTTCACGTGAAGGCCTATCTTTGATGCTTCTTCTGCCAACTTGTTACTTTTCACTTGCATATCTTCCAGTTTATGGGAAATCAGACATATATCATCGGCGAAATCCAGATCCTCCAAGTCTTTTGTGTCAGTCCATTTTATGCCTGTTCCCTCGTTGGTTGCCGTTGTCTGTCGCATTATCCAATCAATTGCAATCAGGAAGATCATTGGTGATAGTAGACAGCCTTGCCTCACTCCCGTCCTCACTTCGAAGGCTTCCGTAAGTTTCCCGTTGTGGATTACTTGGCATGCAGCATTGTCGTATAACTGTTGGATGAGGTGTATAATTGTCGATGGGACCCCGTAGTAGCGAAGTAGTTGCCAAATGACCTCTCGATCGACGCTGTCGAAGGCCTTTTCAAAGTCGATGAAGTTGAGATAGAGAGGTGACTGCCATTCCAAGCTTTGTTCAATGATGATCCGTTGTGTAGTGATTTGATCAATACATGACTTGTTTCTCCTGAATCCAGCCTGTTCCGGACGAAGTTTTTCATCTAGGGCTTGTTTGATTCTCTCCAGGATGATGCGACTTAGTATTTTGCTTGGAATGGACAGAAGCATAATTCCACGCCAGTTTTTACATTGACTTAAGTCTCCTTTCTTTGGAAGTTTGAATAAGTATCCGTTCTTCCAATCCTCGGGTACTTTGCCCTCTTTCCACACCTTCTCCAGCAGTGGCGTCATCAAGTCCGCTGTTGTCTCTGGGTCTATTTTCAAAGCTTCTGCTGGGATTCCATCTGGTCCTGGTGTTTTTCCAGCTTTTACCATCTTGATTGCATTCAGGACTTCTGATTTCGTCGGGGGGTCAGTGTTCACTGGTAGTTCTGCTTCCGTTGTTGGTATTGCTGGGCGCGTTGTAGGTGGCGGACGATTTAGAAGTCTTTTGAAGTGTTCAGCCCAGTGTTTTCTTTGTTCCACCTCTTTGGTGATTGACTTTCCATTGTCGTCCTTTATTGGCTTAATCTGTGTCGAAAGTTTGCCCGAAAGGTTCCTAGTTGTTTGGTAGAGTGTGGCGAGGTCTCCTTTGCCTGCAGCTTGTTCTGCTTCACTTTCCATGGTTTCATAATATTTTCTTTTGTCTTCCCTGGCACTCTTCTTCACTCTTTTGTTCAGTGTATTGTAGCTTGCATTCAGCTCCTGTTTTTGTTGCTCGTCAGTGCACTGGATAATCTTTTGTTTCACTGTCCTTCTCTCTTCTATTAGTTTCCAAGTGTCCGTAGTGAGCCACTGTTTGTCCTGTCTCTTTTTTCTGCCTAGAATTTCTATGCAGGTTTGACTCCACAGCGTTTTCAAGTTGTTCCAGTGCTTTTTGACGCTGACCTTTTCGCTGGTGTTGATTTGTATCTCAGCTTTGTCCTTTATGCTTGCAATGAAGATGTCCTTTGTAGCCTGGTCCTTCAGCTTTTGAGTGTTGAACTTGGCTTGTGGTCTATCTGCAGCTCCTGATTCCCTGAAAGCTTTTAATTTGATTTGGATTGTCCCTTGTACGAGATAGTGGTCTGAGCCAACGTCTGCTCCTCTTCTTGCTTTTGTGTCCAGTAGGCTGCGCCTCCACTTCCTTGAGATTGAGATGAAGTCGATTTGGTTTTGGTTTGCCCGTCTGGTGACACCCATGTAGCCTTGTGGATATCTTTGTGCTTGTATACACTGCCACCAATCACTAGTTCGTTGAAGGCGCAGAAGTCGGCGAAGAGTTCTCCATTTTCATTCATTTCTCCTAGAGCTTCTCTACCCATGATGAGTTCCCTTCCTGTGTTGTCTGATCCCAGTTTGGCGTTCATGTCTCCCATTAGTATTTTCATGTCGCCAGCTGGAGTATTGTCCATTGTTGCCTGTAGTTGTTTGTAGAATTCTTCTTTATTTTCGAGGTCTGCGTTGTTTGTGGGTGCATAACATTGTATAACCGACACTTTCCTTCCTCTGGTGTTGAATCTGGCGGTTATTATCCAGGACGAGATCGCCTCCCATTGCATGAAGGCCTTTGTCGCTGTTGGTGACATCATGATAGCCACGCCCTCGATGTGAGTGTGGCTATCTTCTGGGTGTTAACTATAAAACAACACTACATCACTCAATTG